AAAACCAGACAAGCCTTTAGTCGTACCATCTCTGTTGTTGTTTTCCTCTTATATATATTGTTTTTATTAAATTGAATATTTGAAAGTTTGAAACAGAACACGAAGCATTAGGTTCAAAAACGCGGAGGATCTAAGCGCTCACGAGACATGTTGTGCAGTCTTTCACCCATGAACATGCTGTTTTATTACGAAAAGACCACTTGTGTTCTAATGGCTTCAAATTGTTGATGAAATTTATGTGGTTAAAACAGTTAAAATTCGCGGTGAAATTTCGTAATATATGTTAGAGTTAGACATAACATCGAATCCTAATCACACAAAACATTTTTCCAAAAGATTAAATTGATACTCATTATAGAATCAAGTTTTAAAATTTATACCGAAAAATAACTTTAGTTATTTGTTATATGAATATTTGGTTTCTTTTGAACGCTTACCCGAGAAAAACTGTTAGTTAGCCGAACATTTGCTAAGTATCTTCAATAATTGGGTCGTGAAAGTAAAGAGAATCCAATTTCATTCTTCGTCGCTTCCAGTCATCTGCTCGTCCTGGATCATGTCGTATCCACCTCCATCGGGTCCAAGGACTTTAAACCTGCTCACATTCGTTTACACCATTAAACCAAATCATCATTTGAATCGGTTTAAAACCAAATGTTGAAAGATCAAAAACCTTTCTATGATGAATTTCCCTTCCTTGTACTTTTGAGACTTCTCGTATGCAATTTCCTGAGGGAGAAAATGAGAATCAGCATCAAAGAATCACAGAGAGAGGGAGAGAAAGTTGATTACAAGAATTGAGTTTTGAGTCTTGTACGTATTTCCAGCCAACGAGTGAGCCACAGTTTACGCAGAAGATGTCAGCTACAGTGTGCCAACCAGTCATCATCATGCGATGCTCCATCTCTCCAACCGTCACATTGACACTATGAATTCCAAAAAGGGTTGCTAAGAAACAAGGAAACCTTTGTGTATGATCAATTTCTTCTATGTAGTAGTACTTACACATTGTCGAAAAGATAAGCCCTTCCATGCTTGCAGTGAAATGACTGGAAACAACACAAGCACAAACAAAAATCAGGTAAAACTACTTGATCATTTCAAGAACACTATTCGACTGTAGAAACACAAGTGTGTACACAAATCATGGTGTGTTTGATCAGCTCAACAACAATAACCACAAAACAAGAAATGAAGAGTCAATTCCCAAGTTGTGTGTTTTAATCAGTTCGTCTCAAGGGTCAGTTCAAGACCCCGAATTGATCAAAAACAAGAACTGAATGGTTAAATTTTCCATTTCCCATGTTGTTTTTTTTGACTAATCTGAAAATGCAAGTTGTGTGTTTCAATCAGATTTTAGAACAAAACATTGTCCATGAAATGAAATGATGATATATTGTACAAAACACAAAATGTAAAGGCTAACAATGGAGCAGAACCAAAAATCTTAACTAAATTGATATGGAAGTCAAATGGAGGAATCATTAGAAGAAATGAACCTTTGAGATTAGATCATCAGTAACTGCGAAATGAGTCCGGCAATGTTTGCAGCTATAAACCAGTCCTTCGAGGTCTATCACGAATAATCTTCCCATTTCGAACAAACCCACCTACCTGAAACACAAAGAAACCCCAAAAGATCTCAATTTCCGTCACAGATCTTGACCATACTCATGTCAATATGACGATACTCATGTTCGATAAATTGAAATCGATGAACAGAGAAATAAAAACACACGGAAAAGAAACGACAAACAACAGTGAAATAATCACGATCAACAATCAGGGAGAAAATTACAACGAAGAACAAAGTCCAATATATCAAGAGAAATTACCAGAAAATAGTACGCGTTTCACGAAATACATGATTAAATTGGTAGAAAATTGCACAAAAAGGGAAAAAGGAAGAGAACGAAATCAACCAGAAAAGCGCGTTAATCTAGAGAGCAAAAAAGCTACGATCGATTCAAATGTCAGAAAAAGGTAACGAAATAAGTAGCTAAGAAAAGACTAGCGTAGTTCGCAAGACGCGGCGAGTGAAAAAAAAGTAGGAGAGAGAAACAGAGAAGGAAAATCCCCCAGGAATTTTCCAGCCAAGAAAAATAATTCCCAGAAGACGAGAAAATCCGTACGAGAGAGAAAATCGAGGATTAACGAGAAAGGAATCAAAAAAAAGAAGAAGAGAACAACCAAAAATTGATCTTACCCTCGAAGGAGAAACGCCAGAACAAGGGAGGTTTCGAAAATACCCATGC